CCAAATCCACGATTTGTATTTTATTTAACTTTTAACATTACAAAAATTATGATATGTATTAAAATTGGTTTTTATTGCTTTTTCAATGTTCAAAAACAAAATGCTCTGTCTTAATTTTATAGAAGACTGAGATTTTTATTATTTTACAAAATCACAGAATAGTTAATTGATGAATAATTTGAAAAAATTTGCTAAAGAAAGTGCTAATTTGTCTGTCATCTTGCTTTAGATCATATTATTAATTTACTAAAATCTATTCGTTTAAACATTAAATTAGGTGTAGACTCAATTAAAGGTTTTTTGTACATTTTAGATAATTTTTTCTTTTTCTTCCCCTATAATGATTGCTTATTTTATTTTTTATTTTATTAAACTAATTTAATTTTACAACTAAACTAATAAATATTTCTATAAATTGCAAATATATCATATAAAAATATTTGACGACACTTTTTATTTAATCATTTCTGATGTTATTATTTCTATGATGTTTTATCTCCCGTTCAACTTGCTGATAAGTGGGCATTGCACAAAATTTAATACATAACCAGTCGACTACAGGCGTAGGACAAATCGCGAATAAAAAACGATAGATTTTGTAGCTAAAAGCAAAAAATTATTAATTGAATTTAATAGAATATACTGTCATTTCAAAATTTACCGCCAGGGTTCGTGAATATACATAGCCTTTGGCTGGGTATTGGTTAAAGCATCTTTAAATTTGTCCAGTAACTCCTTATCATGCATACTATTAGCCGGTTTAAAACCGGAAATTATATTCAAATAATCATTGAAACGTTTAAAGTAGGCACCATAAAATTCACGTTGTTCTGACGAGAAATTATTGTACATTAACTTCGCATGATCTTGTTGTCTGGCGCATATATTACTGGACATCACAAATGAACCAGGTATAAAGTTTACCACCTCTACACCATATGATTGCATTTCAATGCGCAATGAATCGGTCCAAAATCTTAAACCTGCTTTCGAAGCAGCATAAGGTGAGGTAGATGGCAGGGCCTATAAAAGTTTAAGATTTTTTAACAGAAAATATAATGTTTTATTCATAGAATTCTCACCTGTAGACCACAATGACTTGTTACATTTATAATACGTGCCTGATGTTGCCTTAACAATGGCATTAATTCTCTTGTTAATCTCATGGTGCCCAATAAATTAACATTTATTTGCATTTCAATCTGCGACCATGTTTGCCATTCAAATTCTCCAAAACACATAACACCGGCATTGTTAACCAAAGCCGTAAATTGATAATCATGGTGATTCGCCAGAACATCCCTAAGACATTGTTGTGTATTTGCTATAGTTTCCGGTTTAAGTAAATCCAATTCGATTGTAATCATACGTTTTGGATCATTAAGATGCTGTAACATTTTCGCTCCATCTGAGTTAACATTGTGACACGCCGAAATTACAGTCATATTGAGGGCATGACAGTATAGGGCGAGCGAGAAGCTATCAAGTATAATGAGAAATGGGTTTAAATTTTTTATTTGTGTAGATAAATTTGAACTTTTACTTGTTGCTGAATGTGCTTGTCAAAAATTTTTTTAAGTTAAACATACAACAAAATCAGTTTTTAAAAAGAGTGAAATTTAAAAATTTTTTATCAAAATTTTTCTCAAAAAAACACCTTAAACATGTTATTTTTACTATAAATTAATCGTGTAAAATTTGATTGCTTACTAAAAATTAAATTTTTAACTAAAAATGTATTTTTTTAATCAGATTTTTTATAAAACTTTAATTTTTCACTAAAATGTACATATTTTACTAAACTTTGATGAAATAAATATCGAAATTATGCCGTTTTTGTTTATTTTCACTAGAAATCGTATTTTTCATTAAAAATCTTATTTTCCACTAAAAATCTTTTTTTCACTAAAATTGTTATATTTTTTCATTAAAAAATAAATTTTTTTTGAAGTAAAATTTTTCGCTGATTTTGAGAAACTAACGATTCATAGAGTTCCTGGTAGTGAAATGTTTGAAGTGCAATTGGAACTATTATATGTATATAAATTTTTGGTTTTCACTTTGAAAAAGACTCTCTCCAATTAAATTTTTAAAAAATTTCTTATACCTTTTTCCATACATACCCTAATCCGGAATCACAGCCTGTAATTAGAACCACATTGTTGGGTGAGACTTTCAATTGTCTACCACCTAATCCCAAAGTTCTTGTTACAATACGACGAAACATTTTGTTTAATGTTTTCTTAATAATTTCCGCAGCCCCTTGAACTTGAATATATCGAATTTATTTCTTTTGTTATGTATTCAAAAAACGTATTTTTATTTTTTGGATTTTTCTTGCTTATTGTTAAGATGTTTGGTGTATTTTTTCGTGTGTGTTATCGTTGTCCGTTTAACTTTCAGACTGAAATGTAAAAAAAGAAATACACGAGTTTAAAGTTGCACAATATGGAATTTATTTTGTTTGTTGTTGTTTTTGTTATTAATATTATTCTTAAAAAAAACATTACAATTTATAAACGATGACTGAATTTTAAAAATTGGTACATATTTAAAGAATAAAAAATAGTGAGCTATAATGAAATTAAATTTGGTTTTTGTTTTGTTAATGATTCATTCATAAAATACCGTTTCGAAGTTAGATTTTATAGTTTTGTTTTACAAAATATTGGATAAATATATGTTAACCATTAGTAGAGTGTTGTAAAAGTCGTTACAATTTCATTATTTGTTTTTTTTAATTCATGAGGATGTTTTTTGGAAAAAAATTACCGGTTTTTTGTACATACATATGTATGTATATACTTACACCTTTACATACATATGGTAGGTATTTAAGGTAGATGGGAGGAACCGAAATATGAATAACACTCAAATTACAATTTCGTCTTTTGCAAAATAATATTCGTAAAATTCTACAAAAATACAATTATATTTATTTATTAGTTATCAAGTGTGTATACTGTATCAGAATATATGTAAGTAAATTACTTTGTATGCCTGCATCTAAGTGCATTTGTTGAATTATGTATTTGACCCATGAATTTGAGAGAGATATTCATTCATACAAGTATGAAAGAAAGTGCAGTTTATTTATTATTTTAAAAATTGTTTTATGATATGTAGTGGAGTGTTTTATACTTGTTGATAATAAAAGAACAAATAATTTAAATAGATTTTATTAAATATGTTTCGCATTTTCTTTTAAATGCGTTCTTTTTTATTAAAATTTGGGCTTAATATGAAAGTGCAACTTTTTTTGTAAATAAAAAAGAAAATATTTTAATAAGAAATCATCTTTTTGTTAAAAAAGATTTATTAGTTTTTAACGATTCTTAATGTTTTTGTTCTTTTGGAGAAAAAAATTTTGAAATTATATGAAAATTCGATTTTTTCGATGTCATCATAAAAACGGGTCTTCATTATATATTTATTCTAAGTTTCATTACAATCGGTTAAGGTTTCAAGAAAATTTTCCATTATTGCATAGATTGAGTTTGAAGCCAGAGTTTATGGGTCAACATTATTCGATTTTACTTAAAATTAAGATGTGCATGTATGTATGTATGTTTCCTATTATATGAAATTTTACCGCTAATCTATGGGAGATATCTATTTTATTCCCTTCTTTATTGTCCATAAGTCACATGAAAATTTTCTAAAAATTTTATAATTTGCTTAACAAAATTGTTAAAAGTTTGAAACTGGAGTTTTGAAACTGCCGTCTGAAGGGTATTTAAGTTAATGTAATATAATTTATTATATTTCCCAAAATGTCTTAATTTTTTTTAATATATCTCTTTAAGAGTTTTATGACACTAAATGACCTGAGGAATATGTAATAACTTTTACAATGTTTGAACGATTATTGTGTTTACATCTTAATGGAACGATAACTCGTGGCGCTACGAATTATCGTAGTCCTATGGTCCGATAGTTTAAGTTTAGAGGCAGAGAAGGTGAATATTCTTATGTTCTGTAAAATTAGAGAATTGAATATTGAATACGGTCACGGGGGCTTAAATAACAAAATGTTGGAATTTTTTATAGATCTTTTTAGCACACCAAATAAAATGATAAATTTTACAGGAAACACGTTTTTAGTTAGTCCTACTAATTGTTGTCTAAGTATGGATTTAATAAAATGTATTTATATTATTTATTAGAATTCCTAACATAGGAACTTATAGTTACAAATATACAATATAAAGAAAACAAAAATCTGAACATCAAATTTGTTTAATTTAAGAGATCTGGTTTGTATTATTAGTTTGAAATGTATTTAATTTATTCCATATATTACAAAATCAACGAATTATTCTATTCTATCATATAAACATTTCAGAGACTCTAGAGTTTTCGTAACAAAAACAAAAAATGATATTACTAATATAAAGAAAACATTTGAAGTAATAAAATGTAACTCAGTTTATAGCTTAAATCTTTCTCTACAATTTGCAACTTATTTCATTTCATTTGCTTGGATAGTTTTCAAGTTATAGCTGTTTTCAATAATCCCGCATTTTTAACAATTTTTCAAAATGGGAAACCCTGTTTCGGCATAGTAATAGCGCCATCTATTGAGCGGCATGATTTTTGCCTGACAAAGTGAAAACAGGTCGCTCAATAGATGGCGCTAAATTTTGCCTGAAAAATGGCATTGCCAGCAGCGACAAAACTACCAAAACATTACACAGCATTGCCAGGTTGAATGATGAAATTACGTTAAATTTAAACGCAACAAAGCAAATAAAATTTTAATTTAACTAAAAAATCCTGTTTTTATGATAAAATAACACAATTTTCTATACTTACTTTAAAATCGAATGCAAATAAAAATGTTTACAAGTGTTTTTATGTAGTTTTTTAGTGTTTTATTTTCAAATCGTTTTTTCATTTTGAAATCATTTGGTGTTTGTTTTAAAACTGTTATTATTGCTATTTATCATTTTTAATTAAACATTTTTCACTTTAAAAATTTGTTTAAATTTCTTGTGTTATTTTGGACTTTCTTCTTTCAACTTGTTTATTATATTATTTTTTTTTTATAAATATAATTTCATTTAAAAAATATGATTCTATTCATTTCAATTTATAATATTTTTTATCATGTTAGTATAGTTGAGTAAAGCTAAAATTTTTACCACTTGTTTTCAGAGTTAGAATTGCTTTCTTGATTTGTTTTTACATGCTTTTGCTTTTTTTATATTTTTTAATTTTTCTTTTTTTTTTTATTAAGCATTACAAATTTCAATATATGAATATATTTATTTGTCTTTAGATGTAAGCAAAAAATATATTTACAAATCTTGTTAATATGAATAATTAAAAATTATATAAGGCTGTCATTATCAATGATTTTTACGATTTTTATTAAAGTAATTTATTTGTTTCTTCATTTTAGATTTTAAAAGGCCATTTTTTTAAAGAAAAACTATTTATAAAAAGCAAAATTATTGTGGATTTAAAAATTATTTGATAAAGTTTTTACATGTTATTTATAAATATCACAACGCCTGGCTTTTTTAATTATTATTCTTTTCTTAAATTTATTAATTAATTAAAACCATGTTTTGTATTGGATGTTTTTTATAGTTTAATTTAGTTTTTTTTTTATTAAATAAATAATTTTTAATAATTGCACATAGAAAAAATAATAAGAAAATACGAAAATATAATAAAAACGAAAATTGAAACAATAATAACAGCAAACAAAATTTAAAACTTAAGTCAATTATAATTTTCTTTGTGAAACAAATTTGATTTTGGTGTTTTATATAAAAGCAAAAAAAAAAAAAAATAGATAAATATGTTAATTAAGAAAAATGTTTATGTTTTACGAAATAATTAAAAATAATAATACAGCGTAAAAAATATTTGTATGTGATAAAAAATGAAATTGTTCTTGTTAGATAATGCTTTTTGTTTTTTCTGTTTTGTTGTTGTTTTCGTCAGAGGTTAAAAAATTAAATACTAAATAAACGTTTTTTAAACTTTTAAAGATTTCTTGGATTTGTGTCCATTTCGTGTTCACTATATTATTACAAATTTAAGAAAATTTTTATAAAATTTGAATTAAAAGTATCTAGGAAATTTGCTTAATAATAGTACATACATAAAATTTTAAATAAAAAAACATTTCTTTATTTTCTTTAATTTTAAAACTCATAGTTAAAAAATACACATACTTTTAAAAAGTACATAGTTTTCTTTCTTTTAATAATTCAATTATTCACTCATTCATCATTGATTTATCTCTTAATAGTTTAAAGTTTAATTAATTGTTTAAGACCAGCTTCGTTTGCACTCTCTCCTCATCTCTCAGGTTTTTATGCTCTTATTCTCTGTTGATGACGCGCTTCATGCATTTATTGTTATAAACTTACCAACTTAGAGGGTTCGCTTGTGGGTGTCACTAGTTCCAAGGGATGCTTGTTCTGTGATGAACAAGTGGGTACTAGAGGGCCGGAAACCGGTGTTAAGCCAGTACCACCATCCATGAGAGAATCAAAGTTGAACATACCCGTCGATGGCGTCTGTATGGCTACACCATTGATGTCTGTGGGCGGCTTGTTGTCATTGACATTTAGGCCTATAGTTTGAGCCAAATTTCGTGGTACTGTTGGCAATGAATTGGGACGTTGTTTCGAATTTGGTTTTGTTAATGGAGCACTAAGTGATGGATTGTTGGAGTACATGGAACCAAAGCTAACGGGAGCCGCTGTTACAATGGGAGTGTTTAGTGAAGCCGAGGCGGCCGCCAAAGAAGGTGACAGTGTGGCAACATTTGGTAAAGGCGGTGGTATCATGGGGTTATTGTTGGTTAGAATAAATCTTTTTGGCGAAGACGGACCATCTTGATCAAGGGATGAATTTGAATCTAGCGCTGAGTCCAATGGTTCAGCCTTAATTTGAGCTAATAGTTGATCATTCAATACTGGTTTCAAGTCCAAAGGAGAAATACTTCTAGCAGTTGTAGCCAAACTGGTGTCGACGCCAGTAATATTATCATTGGCCGTTGATGTGGCTGAAGGCATCAGCCCTTCGAATGTATTGACGGATAAAATATCAGTTGGCCCAACTCTTTGACAGGTAGGACGGTGTGCTTCTAAAAGAAATTCTAAATCTTGTTTGGTACCATTCAATGACTCGATTTGTTTTTGCAACTCTTCACGCTTCTTTTCCAACATTTGGACCTCTTCGGTCAGTTCATTAGTTTGGTCCACTCTACGCTTGCGACATCTGGCGGCCGCCAATTTATTACGCTCTCGTCGTATACGTCTCTTCTCCTCTTCTTCGGGTGACATATTGCTATTGGTGGCTGGACGACGTCCACCACCACGTCGAGTAGGGGTAGCTGATGTTGTAGTGGCACTTGATGAGGTATTATTGTTGTTATTACCAGAATTCGATATTTTGGCAGCTGCTGTCGCTACAGCTAAGGCAGCCAAATTGACAGTGGTAAAATCATTTGTTGTCGAAGAATTGGAATTATTGAGGGTATTAACACCCAAACCATTAAGACCATTTTGAAATGAAATTGTATCTGTGGCGGCACTTGCTGTAAAACAGAAAATGAACATAATTAGTATTTTGAACATGAAATTTTAAAAATTATATATGTAAATGCTTACAAGTATCTGTTGTGGCCATAGAATTCTCTTCATTCAAATTATTACCCGTCCATGATCCCTGAGAATTTTCCGATTCTGTCATATTTCCATAGTCAGGCAAACTGGCCCCAGCACTAATATCACCCAAATAGACATTATTCAATGCCGCATTTGGTGATATACCAGCAACAGATGTTGTTGTTGCTGCGGCTGTTGTTAATGTACTGTTATTGTTGTTATTGCTATTGCTATTCGTTGTTGTAGCATTATAAGAACCCAATGGTGGTGGTATAAATCCTGCCTGATATGGTGCATTCACTGGCTCGCTAGTTAACTGTATAAACGATTCTTCTATACTCTTGAGCGTTGTAGGTGTTAGGGTGGGTGTGGTCAAAGTCGGTACACCTGTTTGCATGCATTCCATTGAAACGAGCTGTAACGAAAAGTTAAATTTAAAATTAATTTAATTTGTTGATTTTATTATTATTTTTGTAGATCTTTTTTTTTACTACAGAAAAGTGTAAATGTAAGTAAAATATTTCAAAATTTATTTGGAAAGTGTTCTGTTCTTCTTATTTCTTTTGTAAATTTAGCTAAAATTTGGGAGCGATTTTTAAAATTCTGATTAATTTGAATAAATATATTAGAATTACGGTACATAGAATTGAAGTTAGAACATTAGTAAAGTTTTATTTTTACTTTTTGTTTTAAGGTAAGAATGCATTAACCTTCTAATTATATACTCTATGTTTAAATTTAATATGCTTGTTATTAGTTAAATTTGTTTGAAATTATTCCGCATTTCAAAATCAACATGAAAAATGAAATAATATTGTATTAAAAATGACACCACACCTTTCTAATAATTATATAAATTAAAAATAATTGCTTAAATTTAAAAAGGCAATATTTTCTCACGTTTGAATCATTTTGAAAACGTTTTTTTTTTTTTTAAATTATCTAAAAAAATTTTGATTTATTTTTTTTCATTGTTTAATAAATGTATAATTAATTGGAATACATTTCGTTAGAGTTTTTATGATTTATTTGAGTTTTTTTAATATGATTTATTTTCATGTTTAAAGAAGACAAATACTTGATTATAGATTTGATTAAATAAATTAAATTTAAATAAAATAAATTCTGGATGTTAATAAATACCCGATTAATTGATTTTCAGCAATTTCTGGAATTTTCATAAATAATTTCGATCTCGTCATTATATTTAATGAATTAATGAACTAGTTAGTTAAAGTTGGAATATAGTTTTGTCATTTAGTTGTTGAAACAAAATTGTTTTTAATAGTTTCAAAATTCGGAATTCGAATTGACTTGAATTGGGACAAATGCATCGTTCCCCAAGAACCAGTTTTTTTCAAACTATTAGTGACAAAACTATTTTTCTAATTTTGTTTATTTAATTGAAAATAAGAATGAAAAAAACACACACACAAACAAGTGCGTTTAATTAGTATTAATTAAAATCGTTGTTTTGTATAATTTGCAAAAAAAAAAAAAAAAATAACAACAAAATAAAAACTGAATGTATTTGTTGTTGAACGAGTTCATCTTTAAAAATAAAACACATCTACAACGTGTGCGCGAATTTTTTTTCTTTTTGTTTTGTATTTTTCATTGTATTTTTTCGCTAAAATTTTTTTTATTTTTCTTAAGAAAAAATAACAATGAAAATAAATAAATTTAAACAAATTAGTTAAATGGCAAAAAAACAAAATAACCCAACAAACAAAATAGTTTAATTATAAATATAGAAAACAATTTGCAACTAAATCTTATGCTATTTAATGTCAAATTTTACTTTTTTAAATGAATTTAATGAAAATTGAAAAGTTTCCTTTAAATATGTTTGCTGGGTTCTATGCCCCCAACAAGACTGGCACAAATAATAGAAAATATTATAAACAATTTAAATGTAAATAAACTATAAAGTACATAAGTACTCGTATTCCTATGTACTTATTAAATTCTTTTAATTATAAATAATTTGTATATTTAATTAAGGAGTAAAAAAAAGGCGGCAAAAAGGAATATTGAAAGGAAAACAAAACAGTAATTACCGAATTTCTGAACATGCTATTTAATTTTGAAAGATATCTTTAGCAAGGAATTTTGAAGCAGTTCTGTTTTTTTTAAATATATTAGCCTCATTAGCACTCACTTTCATTTAAATATATCTATCCCCCTTTTTATATTTTCTACAAATCATTTAATCTAATGATTTCATTGCTTTATACGTAACAAAATAATATTTATCTCACATGTAGGTGTGACCTATTAAAGATTTGAATGTGACAAGTCTTCTATAATAAATTGCAACAAATATACATAAATACATACATATGCATGTATATATGTACGTATGTATGTACATAAGTTAATATTTGAAAAAATAAATTTAAAAAAATCAAACAAGAAATATTAATTGCGACGAGAAGAGCCATAAGGTCTGCTAAGAAAATTGTGTGTTTGAAATTTGTTGTTTTATTTTAAATGTGGAAAAATAAAAAAAAAATCATATATAGTCAGGTGTATGTATAGCTTTTGATTTAAATTGCACATAAATTTTAAAATTATGTTTAGAAAATATATAGAAAATTAGAAATAGAAATTGAATTAGTTTAAATAAAACGTAATAAGTTTTTTTTAGGAAAAAAGTTTGCAGATATTGAAAAAGAAAATATTATAATACTTTAAGTATTTAATGGAGAAGTTATCTAGAAGGAAAAAAATCGAAATCTTGCTCGTAAAAATCAAGGCAAATTTGTGTAAATTCATGTTTATACCTAAAAGTTATAGAAGCAAAGGCAGCAATCTGTATTTTTCCTATTCTCGAGATTAACTGCCGGTTTCTCTAAATGCCAAAGAACATTTTCATTCTTACAAATGTATCGAAAACAACAAATAAATTTAAAAATTTGTTTTTGTTTTCAATATATTTATAAGAAAGAAAATGTTTCGATATTGTGAAACAGACAGTAAGACTTAGATTAAGAATAGAGTCCAACCGAATTAAACTTCCGTTCGTTGCAGAACACAGAACAAGAACAACGGTCAATTTTAAAGTTCGATCGAACCCGAACTTTTTTTTTATAATTAAAATGTTGGCCTCCGATAGGTTAGTTTCTAGTATGGTAGACCGGAGGTCGTGGTTCTATCCTCTTTCAACTAACTAACTAACTAACTAACTAACAACTAACGAACGAACTAACTAACTAAAACAACAACAAACTAACTAACATAACTAAACGAACGAACGAACAACGAACTAACAAACAACGAACTAACGAAGACCGAACGAACGAACAAAGAACGAAAGAATACTAACAACTAAAATAAAAACTAACAAAAATAACTATAAACTAACTAACGAACAACGAACGAACGAACGAACTAAAGAAACAAAGAACAACTAACTAACTAACTAACTAACTAACAAACTAACGAACAACGAACTACAACGAACGAAGAACTAACTAACTAAACTAACGAACTAACGAACGAAACTACTAACTAACTAACTAACTAACTACTAACTAACTAACTAACTAACTAACTAACTAACTAACTAACTAACTAACTAACTAACTAACTAACTAAACTAACTAACTAACTAACTAACTAACTAACTAACTAATAACTAACGAACTAACTAGTAACTAACTAACTAACACTAACTAACTAACTAACAACTAACTAACTAACTAACTAACTAACTACTAACTAACTAACTACCTAACTAACTAACTACTAACTAAGCTAACTAACTAACTACTAACTAACTAACTAACTAACTAACTAACTAACTACTACTAAAACTACTAACTAACTAACTAACTAACTAACTAACTAACGTAAACTCACTAACTAACTAACTAACTAACTAACTAACTAACTAACTAACTAACTAAACTATCTAGCTTAACTAACTAACTAACTAAAAACTAGCTAACTAACTAACTAACTAACCTAACTAACTAACTAACTAACTAACTAACTAACTAACTAACTAACTACTAACTAACTACTAACTAGCTAGCTAACTAACTAACTAACTAACTAACTAGCTAACTAACTAACTAACTAACTAACTAACTAACTAACTAACTAACTAGCTAACTAACTAACTAACTAACTAACTAACTAACTAGCTAGCTAGCTAGCTAGCTAGCTAACTAACTAACTAACTAACTAACTAACTAACTAACTAGCTAGCTAACTAACTAACTAACTAACTAACTAACTAACTAACTAGCTAACTAACTAACTAACTAACTAACTAACTAACTAACTAACTAACTAACTAACTAACTAACTAGCTAGCTAGCTAGCTAACTAACTAACTAACTAACTAACTATAAACAAATTTATACCATGCAAAACCTATTCACCATCAAAATATGGTTGCTTTAATTGGTGGAAATGCCCATATAGAATGTGTTGGAATAAGTTGGTTTAAGTCCTATAGTGCTTTCAAGAAATAGGAAGATGGTCTTACTATGTATGTATGTATGTATGTATGTATGTATGTATGTATGTATGTATGTATGTATGTATGTATGTATGTATGTATGTATGTATGTATGTATGTATGTATGTATGTATGTATGTATGTATGTATGTATGTATGTATGTATGTATGTATGTATGTATGTATGTATGTATGTATGTATGTATGTATGTATGTATGTATGTATGTATGTATGTATGTATGTATGTATGTATGTATGTATGTATGTATGTATGTATGTATGTATGTATGTATGTATGTATGTATGTATGTATGTATGTATGTATGTATGTATGTATGTATGTATGTATGTATGTATGTATGTATGTATGTATGTATGTATGTATGTATGTATGTATGTATGTATGTATGTATGTATGTATGTATGTATGTATGTATGTATGTATGTATGTATGTATGTATGTATGTATGTATGTATGTATGTATGTATGTATGTATGTATGTATGTATGTATGTATGTATGTATGTATGTATGTTATCTAGATCGTTTTAGAATAAGAACTTAGAATATGAATATATTTGTATGGACTAACGACCAATATTTCAAGGTGTTACAAATGGGATTACAGATTTATAATCCAAACAGATTTATAATCGAAATTTCATAGTTTGTTTCTTTAAATAATTTCAGAGTCAAACAATAACTACTAACTGGCGGTTCTAAGGAAAACTACATAATTTTGAAGAAAAAATAAGATTATACCAATACCATAACACAAGATTATGATAGAATACCAATATTGAATATGTAATAGAATTCTGAACTATAACATTCTCATGGAAGATTCTTCGCATATAAAGTGTTAAAAATAGAAACGTTTCCTATACAAAGGACTGACTAGCTTTGTTTCTTCTTTATAAGACATTTAACAAACATCCAAAAACTGGCTGATAAAAACATTTTCGTATTGTTTGGGATTAGTCAAATAAGTTTGATTTGGTTGCAACATAAAAAAATATTTTTGATTGTAATCTTATCTTTATATATCAGAAAACAAAACATTTTTCATTTCCTCAAATCATCAATTATTTGTTAAAAATCGAAATTAAACTAAAATTGTATACCTGTTGCATAAATAGCTCATTGGCAAGGAAATTGGCAATTTCACAGGCATCCATAGTAAGTTTATCGCAATTATTATTATTATTATTCGTTTGATCGCTATTTGAATTGACTGCAGCAGCAGCTGTAGCACTAGTAGTAATAGCTACAGCATTATTTGAACTACTAGTGCTGGGAGTAGAGTTAGATATAGTAGCACTACTACTGCACTGTGAAGCGGCAGTTGATGAAACAGCAGGCGTGGTTAAATTACTATTGTTGCTATTACTATTACTACTACTACTATTATTATTATTATTGTTATTATTCATATGTATTTGTTGTTGCTGTTTTAATTGTTGTTGTAATAATTGAAATTGTTGCAATTGTTGTTGCTGCTGTTGATTAGTTTGATAATTATTATAATTTTGTTGATGTTGTTGTATTGTATTATTATAATTATTGTTATTATTATGATGCAGTAAATGTTGCTGCTGTTGTTGTTGATGATGCTGCTGCTGCTGTTGGTGTTGTTGTTGATGAAAATTAAATAAATTTTCACGTTGATTGTTATAAAAATTATTTGGAGTTGAAAAATTATAGACACCTGTTGTTGGTGCCGAATGACAAGTGGAAGGCAAATGATGATGATGATGGTTATTACTCATCGGAGCCGTAGAAGAGAAAGAGTAAGGAGCAGAAGAAGAAGAAGAAGGTGTAGCTAATGAAGCCATTGCTGAGATATTTAGAGAGTTTGGTCTTTGTGGACGAGAGAGAGCACTATTATTGTGGTTGTTATATTTGGTATTGTTGTTGTTATTATTTATATTAAGATTGTGGCTGGTATTGTTGTGGTTGTTGTTGGCATTGAAATGAAAATTATAATTAAAAGTATTTGTTTGATTTAAACTTAACATATTGATTTGTTGTTGTGTTGTTGGTAAATGTTGATTAAAATTTTGTTGCAATTGCTGCTGTTGTTGTTGCAAACGTAGCTGTTGTTGATTTGCCAAATAACCGCCAAGCGTAGGTGGTGGAGGTGTTGTTGTTGCTAGAGTTTGTTGTTGATTATTGATACGATTGTTAATAGAGTTTGGTAAAGTTTTACAACCAACTAAATTTATATTGCTGGCTGTTGTTGGTAAATTATACGAATTATTAAATCTTTGATTAGTGGGTGTTGTTGCTACTGCAGTATTATAGGGATTTAAACAAGTTGTAGGATTTTGTAATTGTGTTTGCTGTTGTTGATGATGATGCTGTGTGTTGTTTGCTGGTATTTCATAGGGATGATACGCTTGGTGGTATTGTTTTATATTTAAATTTTTCATATAGCTTAATTTCGATTAAAACAAAATACTTAAAAAACTATGATAACAATTTTTAACTAATTGTAAAGCTTATGTTTTTTGTTTATTAAAAAATAAAGGGCGGATAATAGTGTGTGTGTGTTTTTTTTTTAAATATATAAATAAATGACTAGTTTAATGAACAATATTTTTAACTAATTATTTAAATTTTTTTATAAAATATTTAGCGTCTTTTAGTTAATTTGTTATTTAACTTGTATGTCTTAAGTTTTGTATAAAATTAATAACTATTTAATAAATAATTAAAAAAAAAGAAAAAGAAATAACTATAAACTTTTCTTGGAAAAGATTTTTAGCTTAAGCTGTACTTTTTTTAATAACAATTTTTTGTTTTAAAACTAATAACTTAAGAAATTACAAAAACAGTCAGACAAAATTTTATTTGTAAAGATTTGAAAATCTTTGAATTTTTTATAAAATAACTTAATAAATCTTTTGTTTTAAACAAACTTTAAACAAAACTTTTTAAAAATTTCAATTATAATAAATTATATTTATATACAATCTTTTTTTAAAATTCGTTTAATAATTTAATTATTATTGTTTAATTATACTATGGCACTTTTTCGTTTTTTATTTGGTTTAAGTTTTTTTTTATTAAAAAAAATGTTCGTTATTAAGAGTGTTCGTTTAAATCGTTTTGTAGAAAAATGTCGTCGTTTTTTGCATAAATCGTTATTGAAATTTCATTTATCAAATATTTTGACAGTCTTTTTCAGGTGGTTTCAATATAAGCAGTTTGTTGTGATTTGTGAACACTTTTGTTAATTGTGGTTTAGTTTTGAAACTCTTCAAAATTTGGTCGCCTTCGACCAAGTCTAAAGTTTTCAAAACCCACGTGATCATAATATATTATTATTATTTAAAGCTTATTGTTATTAATAATTTTATTTTAAAAATAAAAACAATTAAATGTTTTTTTTTGATATGTTATCTTTTTTTCTAAATTTTTATATAAAATTTATTCAACAAGTTTAACAAATAATTAAAAATATTAAACATTTAAGAAAACACAACAAGAAATAACTTATATTTAATATTTATTTAAATTTAAAAGTTTATAGCGGTTTTTAAACTATAGATAAATTAAAGAAATATGAAATTTACAGTTACTTTTAAAATAAAACCAAATAAATGTTTATTTACACTTAAATTTTAAAATTGCTTTAACTATTTTTAAACAATATTATTTAGAAACAATTTATCAATTTTATGACTTTTAAAAAAGAGAAACATAAAATTTAATTTATAAAAGACAACAATTGCTTGATATGAATCAGAATTTTACTGATAAAAAGTTTAAATTAATTGAAATTTCGTAATTTTATTACGAAATTAACAGCAATAAAACGAAAATAATCGATAAAAAGATAAATTAATTGTTTTTATTATTTTTTCATTGATTTAATATTTTATATTAATCAATTCTAAATTTAAATTAAATTTTTAATCTACAAATTTCAAAATTTGAGAATTTACTAAATCAAAATTATAATTCTAAACTTTTTTAAAAACTTTGTTTTATTTTAAGGACCAATCAATAATCAATTTTAATTAATTGTTATTTTTCTATAAGTTTTACAATAGTTTAAAAATTGTATAAATATTGTTTAAATTTTTTTGAAATTTAAATTGTTTATATTAAAATTATTAATATTTGTATATTCTTTTTTAAATATTTATAATTGTTTCACGTGTTTTTGTCGTTATTATTTTGTATTTTTTTTTTCAAAACGATTTTTATATTTATTGAGTCTACTCTTTTTTCTCTCTCTGTTTTTTTAAAAGTGTCGTTGTTTGTTTGGAAAAAACTCAGTTATGAGAGCTTTTCAATCAAGGTGTCGTTTTATTCGTTTTTTTTTGTATTTTGATTAAATTGTAAAACAATTGAACTTGTTATATAATATGATAAATTTTTAATTAATTATATTTTATTTGTAATAGTAAATTAAAATCTATTAACAAATTTTCAAAAAAAAAAAAAAAAATCCCACGCTGAACCACCACAATTTGTTGAAAAAGCTTTAAATCTCTAATTAGCTCTCTCGCTCTCTTTTTGTCAATCTCTTGCTGATATTTTCCTTTCTTTCTGGTGAATTTCGTAATGTCGTGGTTATGAGGTTATGATGATATTTAAATTCAATTTCATTTATATATTATTTTATTATTGTAAATCGTTATTATATTCGTTAAAATTTTGTTATATTTTTTGTTTGAAATTTTTTTCTTTTTAAGGCTTTTAAAACAGATCCACCGCCTGTAATTTCTTTCGGTTTCCTTTTTTTAAGACGGGTAATTTTCAAAATTTTTTTTTTCTATAAAAAATATTTTTTCGTTTTCGTTATTTTTTATATTTCGTTTAAAAAAATTTTAATTTTTTCCAACACCCGTTAAATATTACCGCAGTGGCTCGTTACTCGTTTGTGACTAAATTACACTCACAAGAAAAAATTTTCTTTTAGTTTGAGATTTTGTTTCGTTCTTTTTATTTTTTTGTATTTTTCTATAAATTCTGTGCAAAATTGAAAATTTAAAATATCTACATGATCATTGACTAGTAGTCGTAGCAGATACATCAGCCAGCAGCATCTATTTATTTATCATATCCATAGTAGTCGTTGTTGTCGTCCACACACAAGATTCTGTATTTGGTTGCTTGTTTTTTTTTTTTTTTTGTTATAATTAAAACAAAAACCGTTTTTTTTTTCTAAACTCAAGAGAACATTATTTTTTTTTTTTTTTTTCAAAATAAATTTTTTTGAAATAGAAAAAAATATACAATTTTCTGCCTACACATTTTAAGAACAAAATAAACATACATTTATGTAAAATTTTAATTAATAAAATTATAATTCTGTTGAATACATTATAAATTTACTATTTTGATTAATATGGACGGAAAATGTGACATTTTGTTCTCGCTACTCTTTTATTTCTAGTTCTCACGATATGTTCTCATTTGTGCACTTGTGCTTAAAAAAAAAAATACTTTTACTCTCTATTCCACTGACTCTTTTTCAGTCCCTGTGCGAAATTTGTGTATTTTTTATAAAGAGCCCTACATTATATTGTTTAAATAATTAAGTTTTTTCATTGTATTACAACCTACAGACTAGAGTATAGACTAGAGTGTAGACTGGGGTAGAGAATAGATTAGACTACAGACGTGACCAGACTATAGACTAGACTAGACTATAGACTAAACTATAGACTGTAGCATGAGTAGAGTATAGACTAGAATATAGACAAGAGGATAGACTTGAATATAGACTAGAGAATAGACTAGACTATAAACTAGGCTATAGACTAGAGTAAGGACTAGAGGATAGATAAGACTATAGACTAGACTATAGACTAGACTATAGACTAGACTATAGACTAGACTATAGACTAGACTATAGACTAGACTATAGACTAGACTATAGACTAGACTATAGACTATAGACTAGACTATAGACTAGACTATAGACTAGACTATAGACTAGACTATACTATAGACTAGACTATAGACTAGACTATAGACTAGACTATAGACTAGACTATAGACTAGACTATAGATTAGACTATAGATTAGACTATAGACTAGACTATAGACTAGACTATAGACTAGACTAGACTAGACTATAGACTAGACTATAGACTAGACTATAGACTAGACTATAAGAATTTTTTTGTTCACCTTGTAGGATACCTATGAATTCGTCTAAGCTCCAACAATTTCATTTAAAATAGTTTTTCGATTCTTCGTTTTTTTCGCTATTTTTATGTATATTTTTAGATAAACAGTTTTTTCTTCTTGTTGATGATTTTTTTATCTTTTATTATAGTATTTTCCGTTTTCAAATTTTTGCCAATTTTATTCTCGTGTTTAACGTATTTATAAATTGTATTGTTTTAAATTTTTCTCTTTGTGTGTGTGATTTTTCTCAAATTTATTTTAAATGTTGATGGTTTATCATTAAAATTTCCTTAATCTTTTTAACATGAACAGCGAACGAACGTATCATACATATTGTTTTTTATTTTATTTGGTTCTAACGAATTAAAAGAAATTTTTAAGATTTTCAAGAAATCTGCCATAATGAAAATAATTCATAATAAAAAATAACAGGTGTTTAAAATACAGTATGAAATTAAAAAAAAAATAAACAAATGAAAACCTTTGATAAACGCTAAACATGACAAGTTTGTATACGTTTTGAAAAATGTTTATAAAATATATATTTTTAAGATATTTTTCCTTTACTTTTGTTAGCGTTCTTTGCTAATTATATTGTTCAACAAAAAAAATTACCACAAAATTAAGTGGGTCGTTAAATATATAGAATATTTTTTTCTTCTCTTTTTTGCAAACATTTAAGCTTTCAATAAAAGGCGGCAATTTTTAAAAAAGATTGTTGTTGTTTATATTTGTTGTAAAATAAAATTTGTTTTCTCAACTGTACTTTTGTTCTGTAGTATTTTTTTATTGTCTTTTTAAGAAACGCAATTTTATCACATATTTTTTTTAAAGTCTTCGCTGTGAATTTTTTGTTTGTAATTAATATTTGTATGTTAAATACATTAAAACAAAAATTTAATTGCTGCAACCATAATAAAATATTAAACCATTGCGGGCCGTTAATAAAAACTATTGAGAAATGTAAAAGTACAATTTTTGTTCCATATTTGACTTTAATTTTAAAACACTACTAAAAAACTATAAAAAATATATATAACACATTTTGCAACTAAAACTAGAGTAAGTTTCATAACCGTTATTTAAGCTAAGACTAACTAATAACTAACGTATCCTCATACGCGATTTTTTTCAAAACCAAAACTTCTTAATTAACTCTTTATTTGCAGGCGATCGTTATAAGTACTTACCTAACTCCCTACTTGTAAGCGAGAGTGGTAAATACTTGCTTCCGATGTCATCGCCGAGTAAGTTTTTGCTGAGAAAGGCTTTATTATTAAGTTATTTTCAATAAATTTTTGAATATTCAAAAATTCAAAGTGTTTCGTAAAGTGTAAGCAAATATATGAAACTATCTGGGGATTTCTAATACGAAATAATTATGTCATTTTATAGCGTTTACGCTCTTCACCACTA